TTCAGTAACTGCGAGTACTCTCAAATCGTTCTTTCGTGTTAATTTGACCTGTTGATACAGTTTGTAATGCATTTTTGTTATTAAATGTTTACTTATTTTGTGTTATATCTCGTCTCACTATTTTTAATACATACCACCTTTGAAGTATTTAGTACGACGATTATTTTCACTTCTGTTCTCGTACTATGAACAACAAATTTATTTATTTTGTAAAAAATATTTCCGTACTCCATGTACTCCTTACAACAAAACTATGTTTATTTACCTGTGTACGTTGTTTTATTTAACGGCATTTTGTCCAAGGTTATAGTTGTCTTTTTTTTTTATTAATTTTGTATTTACATTGTGTTAAAGATCACATTTATTCGTTCAGTGTATGTTTACTTGCTTTTGTTACAATATTTTTTTATTGAGTTAAGCCATTTCAATTGATATTTTATAGTGTGTCTTTCTATGTTGTGATGTTACACTATTTTTTCAGGTTAGGGTGAAGGTTAGCGCCTGTTAAAACGTTTAAACCCGCTGCATTTGTTTGCACCTGTCCTAAGTCAGGAACCTGTTGTTCAGTGGTTGTCGTTTGTTGATGTGGTTCATAAGTGTTTCTCGTTTCTCGTTTTTTATATAGATTAGACCGTTAGTTTCCTGATTGAATGGTTTTACACTTAGTATAGTAACTTTTGGGGCCCTTTATAGCTTGCTGTTCGGTGTGAGCCAAGGCTCCGTGTTGAAGGCAGTACTTTGACCTATAATGGTTTACTTTTACATATTGTGACTTGGATGGAGAGTTGTCTCATTGGCACTCATACCACATCTTCTTATATCTATATATGATATGATTATATCATTAAGTCGGCTACAAACGGCAACAACAATTGAAACGAAAAATAAACCCAGCCTAAATTATGACATAACAATAAACGAAAAAAAAACCCAATTTTTGCAGACATCAACTGTATTACTACAGGCTTCTGACTTGGAATAGGCGCATAAATGGAAATAATGCTTTTAAAAAGTTTGTACCCCCGAAGCGCTTCTGGATTCTCCTTCATCGAAGACGCTCAAACATTTGAAAGCGGATAGAAAAAAAAAATGATGTAATGTTAAATATGTTTGTGAACGTTCGCAATACTCCTTCAAAACTAAAACAGCATAGTTCTAAAACAACAAAATATGACATTACAGTTGGAAAGGGTTTGACTCATCCGATCGATGCTAGGCACAAATTAAGATAACTCACAAAAAAGGACAAAAAGTACCTTCACCATTTCGTTTTACCCCATGGGCAAAATGACATGCTGCTGTCTGTCACTTCCACCCCATTTTTTACCAGTCCTTCAAAATAATATCAAGCTTTAATGTTCCTCCAACTTGGCAACCATTTATCTTTTTCATAGACTGTGTAGTCTTCCCGGTTGTTGATTTTATTATATGCTACGACATATATACATATATCCACCTTTATCATTAGAAATTGTAATATGCCTTCTTGGTATCTTTGTTTACCTTTTAATAAAAATAAAGTATTGTGTGTGTGGGGGTGCATCGAATTGATGGGTGGAGAACTTTCGAAGTGAAATCCCTTGCCTGGTATAAACTTTTAAATAACAATTATTTTGAACTAGTCAAGGTGGAAACAAATATTCTGCACCACAAAATATGTGTGTACAAATAGGAAACTATTTTCGCAAAATCATTATTCAGTCAGAGCAAAAAGTGAAAATGAATATTCTCCCTTGGAAAAATAAAAATCTACATATCTTCCATCAAAATCAAATAGTCGTCCCCTAAGATAAAATCAATTCTTAAAATGATCCATAAACCTGACAGTGATACAAATGAGGAAAAAAAACTCACTAATGAACTCTTAGGCATGTGTCGGGGCGTTGTTTATGTTATACTATAAAAAAAAAGAAGATGCTGTATGATTGACAATGAGACAACTCTAAACCAGAGACCAAATGACGAAGAAGTTAACAACTATATGTCACTGTACGGGCTTCAACAATAAACAAAACCCATACCTCATAGTAAGCTATAAAAAGTTTCGAAATATAATGTAGATTTACGCAAATGAGAAACTAGCATCCTGATTTATGTACAAAACAATAAACAAAAACCAACATGATATATAGGAACAAACGACAACCACTGAATTGCAGGCTCCTGACTTGGGACAGTCACATACAGAATGTGGCGGGTACAACATGTATGCTGGCGTCAAACCCTCCCATAACTTAAAAAAACCAACAAAACACAAAAGACACAATGAACAGATCAGAGAGTAATCGCAAACTGAAAGTTACTTCAAAGCCCACAACAACTAATAAAAAATCATGTATCTAAGAGTAAATATCAATCAGTACACATCCTACTTCCAAGGGATTTAGTGTAGAGACGTCATTAACAGTCAGGAAACAACATGACCTCCTGCAAAGCCAAAATATAGGTATCGACAGATTGTAGGACCATGTTCGAGGAAAGAATTGTCCATTAGATTGACAAAGATTCTGTCCGCAATGAAAGAGGGTCTTTAGAAATTCTGTGAAACTGTTTTCTCGCGTAGTGGTGTTAACCATATGTGGATTCTAAAAAACTCTAAAGAACTTCTGGATAATTTTAAATCTCGATCTTTCTCTGATTTTTCAACCCTGTATACCACCATTCCCCATGTGAAATTGAAAAATTGTCAAAAAGAAATTACCACAATGCTTTTCAACATAAAAATGGTAGCATACGCTATAAATTTATTACTTTGGAGTACCATACGGTATTTTGTTAATAGTGAACAAAAAAGTAAAATATGCTACACAGAGAAACAAGTGATCAGTATGCTGGAGTTTCTTATTGACAATATATTTGTTGAATTTGGAGGTAGACTTTTTCAACAAATTGTCGGCATTCCAATTGGAACGAACTGTGCGACTCTCCTTGTCGACCTCTTCTTATTTTCATATGAGTTGGAGTTCCTTCAGACACTTGTCAAAACAAGCAGATCAAAGAAGCCAGATCATTTAATTTCACAATCAGATATATTGACGATGTTCTTTCCATTAACAATCCAAACTTTTCTGATTGGGTTCCATTAATATATCCTCCAGAACTAGAAATTAAAGAAACAACAGACACGGCTTCCTTCGCCTCATTTTTAGACATACCTCGAATCTGACATAACCGGTCATCTCAGTATCAGAATCTATAACAAACACGATTTTAATTTTGACATTATCAATTTCCCCCACCTTAGTAGCAATATACCAACTTCACCTGCTTATAGGATATACATTTCCCAACTCATTCGGCATTCAAGAGCTTGCAGCTACTACTCAGACTTTGTAAAACGTCACCAGTGTCTGAGCAGAAAGTTGATGAACCAGGGGTATGTCAAAGAACGTATCGTCCTTTTTCTAAATAAGTTCATCGGAAGATACCAAGACCTTGTTGATAAATATTCAGTGTCAACTTGACAAATAATACACGATGGTCTTGAAGTATAGATTCTAGGTACTAACGTTGTTTATCATCTTAATAACGAGTTATAGTATTCTTTTATTTGTATTTGTAAATTATTATTATTACTGTTATGTCTATTTTTGGTAATATCCATTTAACGTGGCTCGGTATTTATACATCCCGTCATTGTGTTATTGTGCTATGGTAAATTTTTGTATTCTTGTCTTTCGTTTTTGCTAATGTGCTTTCTCTATATGCCTTTTTGTTTTTCTTTGTTGACATATTTGTTTGTTTTTATTGTGATTAAGATTATAACACAATGTTGACTGCTGTACCCCTATTTTGACATTTTTACCTATTATGTCTGTTTGTTTTGTATACACATCGTTGTCAATATAATGGACTTTTATGCGACTGTCATGCAAGTGAGAGGTTTAGCTAAATATAAAACCAGGTTTAATCCACCATTTTCTACACAAGAAAATGCCTGTACCAAGTCAGGAATATGACAGTTGTAATTAATTCGTTTGATGTGTTTGAGCTTTTGATTTTGCCATTTGCTTAGGGACTTTACGTTTAGAATTTTCCTCGGAGTTCGGTATTTTTGTTTTTTACTTTTTGGAGATATGACTTCTTTGTGATATCGCTCTTTTGCCCATCCGTGGGGGGGATGGTATTGAATGGCGACGTATTTTACTGTAAATAACATTAAAACTTTTGTAGGTCACATTATAAAATATTTTGTAGTTCTTTTGTGTATGCTGACTGAATAATGGTAATCAATGATGCATCTGTGTGCAACATTTGTAGCTTTTGTCACCATACGAGCGGCATTCCCCAGCAGCAACGTGGGCTTATAAACTTCATCAACTCCAGAACGCACCAGCAGATTCCTCAGACAGTCTTGTTTTCTGTAATCCATCATTGGGGTGTTGAGATGGAGTTGGGCTCGGGAAAGATCTTAGAAGGCTTTGTGTTTTTTTTTTCTAATTCATCCCCAACACTCCCGAATGACATCGAAGCGGTTTAATAGATGGTTGGTATGATAGAAAATATGCAATGTTGTCTGCTCTATGGTCGGGTTGTTGTCTCTTTGACACATTCCCCATTTCCATTCTTAATTTTAATATTTTTTTCTTTTTCTTTTTTATCTCTGTATTTTAACAGCTTGCTCATTTGGATATTCTCCGATTTCGTAAACTATTCTTAAAACGGTTGTATTTATAACCCCACTTTGCAATATAACCGTCAAAAGTTCAAATGCTATTTATATTCTTCTAGAATGTTACGTTTGTGCCCACCAATGTGTTAATGAGTCAAAGCACCTATTCCATAAAAACCACAATGGAGACAAATGCATGTTCAAGCAAGAAATGAAAATCTTTTGAGTACTCTGAAATATTTCTTCATAAACACATTATGATGAAATGACGGACTGATGTATTTGAACCAAGACCTCACTAATTAGGTAAATTAATCTGGGATATAATTAGTTTAAGCAAAAGATGTTCTGTACTATTGTTGGCAAAAAGATTTAAACAAAGAAAGCCTTAAATTTTAGTCAAATTTATTTATAATTATAATGAAAACCAATTTCTCAAGTAATCAGTTGAACCAGCCAACTGACATTTATTCTCAATCTTCAATAAAAAGCCGTAATCATATATTACTCTATTATAAAATAACAACAAACAATTTAAAAAAAAATACCAACTATACAAACAAAAGTACCTATAAAAATATGCAAATATTTCTATTGAGCATATAATTCAATTCAGCAGAAAATTAAAAAGTATATATAATTTTTGATATGAATACCGGGGGTATAACACGTGTTTTTCGAATAACCTTTATCAAGAACGCTCGTGATTTAAAGTTTTTAAAGCCAAAAATTTCAAATTTTGAAAAGCTTAGTAATATTAGCAATCGAGGTATTGCTATTTATGTAAACTTTCGTGTTTTTTCTTGTTTTATGTATTTTCTTATTAATTTTTTGTTCGTTTCAGATTATTGATTGTTTACTTCTTTACATATTGTAATCAATATTGGCCATTTGGTCTTAAATTTTCATTTAGACAGATGGAATACTCAGAGGATTCCAAATTTCATTTGATGGCCACCATGCAGTGTATGCATATTTCCAAAATTAAGTTATCATCAGTGGTGCTAGAAACCAAATTTAGAAAATGAGCAATTAATCCAAAAACACACCAAAGATGGATTCCAAAAGGAGTCAATACTACAGTCATTTCAAATCAGTGAATAACACCTATGTTATGCTATAAAAAATCATATCGAATCCTTCATTCAAGTCTGATTTTTGACCACCCCATAACTGATTCGATCTTTTGAATTGTATAAAAATACTCGCTTGTATTACAAACAGTTGAATCTAAATGTAAATTCAGAAAGGACTTTAAAGTCACAGAATTTGTAAAATCTGTAAAACCGGAAATGATCACTACAGAAATTTGTTTCAAATTATGATTAGCAACAAGCAGTAAAGAATCAATAAGAAATAAAAAAAAAAACGAGTTAATTGAAGTATTCACTATTACGTATTAAGGAACTTTGTCATATATATTTTTTTCTAACATAGCACAAAATTTACTAAAATTATTTTACAAATAAACAACAAAAAAGAAGATAAAATTAAAAACCATATTTTAAACGCTGCCTTATTTCTAGAAGTAAGGAGTAGTTAAACCTCACTTTCTGCATCGTCTGCGTGACTAGATCGCTTCTTTTGTGCTGACTTAGAATTCTGATGTGTACTTGGTTGACTGACGTCATTACTAGCTGGTATTGGTGCAAAACATTTGACTAAATTAACAATTTCACCTTGCATATTACCTAAAGCTTGTATTATATTATATAATGCTTTTTGATTTTCTGTCATTACTTTACGTAGAAATTCTACATCGTCAATAATTCTATTATTCTCTTTACTACTAGCTTGTAAATGCTGAAGTCTAACGTCAAGAAGCTTCTGTGATCTTTGAATAGCGTCTAACTGAGGTATAACGAGAGTTGTCGGCCCTGATGGAACACTATTTGACACACGCCTTGTTTGTTGTCTTGCAGTTGTTTTTCTCTTCAATCCAGATTTACCAGCTGAAAATGATAGAATAAAATTTTAACATAATCAGAAATGAAAACCATAGAAACCACATTGTGTTAAACTGTTAGTGGACTTTTCTTTCACATCTATTACTTTTACATATATTTCTTTTAGGAAATATCAGGTGCGTGCAAGAATCTCTTAAACTTTTATAAAAGAAGTGTTGTTTATACAGACAAACACTGTGGTAAATTGTCTAGTTGGCCATGGTTCTCTGGAACATTCAGTATTTGCTAATTAAGCGATGGATCGAAAGGTATGTTCTTCTTCACAACACCGCTTAAATGCACTTATTATTCGACTTAATCACTGCGTTGATTACGACAATATGGCTCCTTAAGTAACTGTTCAAGTTGCATAATCTCAACTATAACATTTCAATTTTAACTTAAAAAAAATAATAAGCCGCGGATAAAACCGAATAAATATATACAACATCGCATCTTGTCCTTGAGTAAAAGTATCTTATTCTGATATGACAATCCGAGATGTGGGGTATACGTCAATGAGACATCAACCCACCGACAAAAAAATAAAAATAAATCTAGATGGCAACAAACTGCCATAAAAAAAGTAGTCGGGTGTCTATCAAATATGTCAAGCTATGTATCGTACCTAGTCTATAAAATTTTTAAAAACATAAAAAAATCTATAAAAACAGACACAATCGAAGATCTGTCAGCAAAACAAAGTTATCCAAATAAGGAAAAACATTAAGATATTACATTAGACTGACGAGGTTTCTCACTTTGGACAGACATATGAATATGTAGCAGGGTTAAACTAGTTTCAAGGGAACTAAACCCTCCCCCTTTTTAATCTCGATCAGTACATTAACAAAACACACATACCAGAGCATAGTACAAATAAAACCACAAGAAAAGCACTTAACTTTAAAATAACAGTATAACATATCAATTAACAAATTCTTTGGATTAGGCACATATGGAGAAGTTAGGCTAATTATTTGAGATCTTAAGCCTCCACTTTCAATTTCGGTATTTGGAATAACAAAATATTTATGAAATGAAAGAATGTGTAAAAAACATCGGCATAGGAGGGAAACTTAACTCTTTTATAGCGGTATAATATACAATGTATAACAAAAACATAAGTACAAGCAAAACAATACCGCATCATACGGTGCTCTCCCTTATTAGCTGAAAGTACTTAAACTGGTGATAAGAAATCATACAGTCCTGCACTCGTACTTCAGTGACATTAACTTACACACAGTAATATCATCAACAAGAAAAAGCGATTGTATACCAGAATCGATTCGAACAGAATTTCAAGACATAAAAAATAAAATGAAACATTAAGTCTCGCTTCAAACTAAATAAATATACAATAGATGTTCCTCCTGAAAAATATCACACGCAACTGTTGATAAACAACATCAACCTAATGAAATAGAGGCGAAAGATACCAAAAAGTAAAATAACAAAAACACCGAACTCCAAGAAAAATTCAAAACGGAAAGACAAAAGCTCAAACACAACTGTCATATTCCTGACTTGGTACAGGAATTTCCTTATGTAGAAAATGGTGGATTAAACCTGGTTTTATAGCTAGTTAAACCTCTCATCTGTATGACATTCGGAACATTTATCAATAAGTCTATAAAGCCAAATGATAAATTAAAGTATGGATCCTAAACGATTTAGCTTGATATTTGATATTACTGTAAAAAGGTGGACGAGAATTGCCACTTCCATAATAAATCACTTAATTTTTGATAACATTTATGAAAGTTTTGACCAATTTCAGATACCTTTTATTATCTTTTCTTTATTTCTTATGTTAATTAGAGGTCACAGTAGTTTATTGTTGTGCAAATATCAGAAATCCATTTAGACGATACAAATCAAAGTAAAAAACAAAAAACCTAAGGCAATCGAATAAATTTCAAATCCAGCGAGATCGGGTGCGTCGATAGGTGAAGCGTTGTCTGCTATGCATTAATCACCCGCCATGCGAATTCACACTCAGTTAAAATGTCACAATTGGAAATAGGACACAATCTGTAAATTAATAGATCAGATGAATTTTCTAGTATCTAAAGATCTAAGACCGCGAAAACATGTCACTAGTGAGTTTAGACACAGACACGAAATTGTTATGGTGACTGTAAAACTAATAAACTATCGATTTCAGTCGTTTTTCCCATATTTCTGTTGGAGCATTGTTTTTAGTGATAGGAGCAAACCCCTGTTAATGTATTCCGTACAGCTAGAATCTGCACGAACGTTACTTATTAATTGAATATTTAAAGAAAACAAGACTCGATAAATGCAAAATCCTGAAGTACCTTTTCTGGATTTACCTTTATCAGGACATTTGAAAGTCAGGAAAGTGAAATATGCGTAGACACGGAAGGAGTTATATAATAAAAAAAGGACAAATTAATCTTAAGTCAACTTTGTACGAGGGATTTTTAACCTTAGTTTGAAATATGTATACGGCATACGGCTGTGCAGAGGGAATGTTACTGCTGGGATATCGGAATTTGACAATTGGAAATTTGAAATCATCACGTTTATGATAATTGCTTTTTTGGAAGTCGTCCATCTATGTCAATATCGAGAAAAAATTCAAGATATGAAGCAGACCTTCTAGTATCTTTAATCTCCAGTTCACAGGGATGTATGAGATGCAAGCATTCATTGAAATGTTGGTAATTGAGAAACAAGACATCATCTTAAATGTTTTTATAAGGTAATTTCTTGTCAAAGTTTTTATAATTTCTTCCATCTCTTGTGTGTTATAATTTGCTTTATGACCTGATAATTCTACTAAGACATGTTGCTTATATTCGATTAAAGCCAACAATTTGTATTTCATATAAGGGTCTGCCACTTTTAATTTCAGAACAACTGAACATCACAAAACAATTTGTAGAATTGGATCTATAATCTAAATAGTTAGATGCTTTATAGATATAAGAAGATGTGGTATGAGTGCCAATGAGACAACTCTCCATCCAAGTCAAAATTTATAAAAGTAAACCATTATAGGTCACAGTACGGTCTTCAACACGGAGCCTTGGCTCACACCGAACAGTAAGCTATAAAGGGCCCCAAAAAATAACTAGTGTAAAACCATTCAAACGGGAAAACCAACGGTCTAATCTATATAAAAAACGAGAAACGAGAAACACTTATGAACCACATCAACAAATGACAACTACTGAACATCAGATTCCTGACTTAGGACAGGTGCAAACAAATGCAGCGGGTTTAAACGTTTAAATGGTACCAAACCTTCACCCTTTTTCCTGAAACAATAGTGTAACATCACAACATAGAACGACACACTATAAAATATCACCTGAAATAGCTTAACTCAATCAAAGGACATATTAACACCATTGAACATACACTGAACAAATAAATTTGACCTATGACACAATGTAAATACAATATAAATAAACTAAGGGAAGAATAATAAAAGTAACATGTTATATCAGGAACATATATATTGACGGGACTTGACACTACCTGATTGTAGTTGATTTTATCGTCGTGCCATAGTTAATAAAGATACGATACAGAAACGGACATGTGTTAAAAACGGACTCGCTATTGTCCTAATAATTTCTAATATTATCAATTAAATGTCATTCAAACTAGTTTTATAGTGATGCTAGTGTATCAAACTTGTATTCTGTCACTTCAAATTTGTTAAAATCGCAAGCATTTCATCACAAAATTGTGCAGAATGCAAACAAGGTAATAAAAAAATGGCAGCCATTGCCGCGATGATTTACAAACACTTCACATCAAATAAATCAAACTTATTTTCGTAATTTCATATGACAAAATATATCTACTAAATGATAAAACTTGTATTTATTTACAATTAGAGTTATGTGGTTTATTTGTTGAGCAGTTCTGATAGTTTTTCAGTCAGACGCTACCAAAATCCGTAAATCTCGGGAAGTCTCGGGAAGTCCGAGATTTTATCAATTTTATACTGAAAAGCGTATCAGATTCATTTCCCGTTAGATATACTGTTCCCAGGTTATATCGGTAAGAAATGTTAAACAATAAAAGAAAAACAATATACTCGAACAAAAATACCATCCATTTGCAATAACTTTAAACACAGGTAAATGAACATAATTTTGTTGTTAGGTATACGTGTACAGTACCAATAGAGAAAGGAAATATTATAACAAAATAAATAATTTTGAATACAAAATAAATAAACTAAGGGAAGAATAATAAAAGTAACATGTTAAATCGGTAAGAAATGTTAAACAATTAAACAAAAACAATATGCTCGAACAAAAATACCATCCATTTGCAATAACTTTAAACACAGGTAAATGAAAATAATTTTGTTGTTAGGTATACGTGTACAGTACCAATAGAGAAAGGAAATATTTTTACAAAATAAATAATTTATACATACATTTTTGATTACATGATATTTCATCCTCTTCTTCATGTATTGGAGGTGTAGCATACGGAATTCTATTAGGTGTATCTGGAACAGGTGGTGGTGCATCGTTTGTTTCTACAATTTCTACTTCCTCCGTTCTTAAGGCTGGTACATTGACTACAATATTTATTTTGAAAGTTTAGCTTATAACTTATGTCGGAGGTTGATTATCGTTTTTTGTTTCGCATAGAATATTTTAGTTTGAGATATTCGAATTATGGATCCAAAACCCGCCTATTTTACCAATTACATACCTTGTGAACTGTAATTAGAGCTTGTAGTAGTTCGTGGTTATGTATGTTGTTTGTATACATACTTACCTTTCATAAGTTAATGTGATGTAGATTGTTTTCACTTGTTCTGTTTGTCTGTTTAAACCAAGTTCTATTGTTCTTGGTTTAATGACATATTTTCGTTATTTATTTTTACATTTTATAACTTTAGTGTTATTTGCCTATTTTTATAAAATCCCTCCTTTGTTTGTTTTATACGATCTCTGACTTTCACTTGTGACGTTAGTTTTTGTACTAACGGACTCAAACAAATATCGGTATTTTTCTTTTTATATTAGTGTATTAGTGTTATAAACTGTTATAAACTGTTTCAATTTTTGTTTTAGTTGTTCTGTCACTTATGTTTTTGTTTGATTGAAACATATGAGAATGTGTTTGTTATTTTTCTCTCACTCCAGTTAAGTAATTTAACATAAAACACATTTAACTTTAAATAAGCACTAAGAAAACTTTATTTTGACTACTATGATACAATAACAGAGACATATATTTCTGATTAAAATTTACCCATTTCTTTTTCATCTCTGGCACGTTCCAGCTTAAACAGATACCGCTTGACTAGTCTTTGCATTATTTCTGTATATGTTGTTTCTTCCGTCTTTAACTCTAAAGATTTACAAACAATTTCTCTACGTCTCTGTAGTTAAAAGTCAAATCAAATTAGTATGTTTAACTTAAAGATTGACAATAATAACTTATATTTCATTCAGTGCCCTTTCATTTTCATTATATTGCCACTTCCAAATCCAATCATTAATATCAAATTTGAATGATGTATTGAATTTTCACCTCTACAGTTTTTCGTTGGAAGCAAAGTTTCTACCAAATTCTTTTATAAAATGAATTTGAAAAAAATCAAAATAGTTATTGTTTTAAGTAAGTTTCAATAAATACAAATCATGGTAGTTTGTTGTTTTAGTGCAACCAAACAGAGATAAATAATATAGAAGGCTGAATGTAACAAGTGGCAGGTAACTCTTGGGCTTTTAATTATCTAGCTCTCCTTTCCTCCTTCTCTAATATCAGATCACAACATTTTCACATTACGATATAATCTGACTGTCTAAAGAAGCGCATGCAACATGGAATATGTGTATCGTGGGAATGCATTACAAAAAGGTATAATCCAGCTGATACGATGTTAACATGACATAACGTATGCATTCTTGAACACTGTTTGGCATTGGTCCGTCTCTGGTGGAAGTAGTATACCACTAGAGAGATGTTTACACGGCGCCACGTGCTTGCTATGTAGCGCCTGTGAAACACCTTTCTAGGAAAATACCTTTCAGTTTTCAATCTGTTGCTGTTTTCCGCAGACATATATTACAATTTTCTGAAATAGACCTATAGAAAAACATGACCTGCTTAATTTTTCGATTGAGATAACTTGAACCACATGTATTGGCCTTTGATTTCAAAATAATCAGAAAAAATAATTCGGTTGTCAATTTATTTTTCAAACAAATTTTTAAATTATTTTGTTACAAAACAAAAAAGCCAAAGTTAAAATATCTTTTCCATCAAAATTCTATGTTCATAGATATTAACCTTTATAAATGTTTTCTTTCTAGCTCGTTGATAATCAAGCCAGTCTCCGTTATCTTTCCTGGAGAATAGAAATCTGAATGACCGCCAGATATAGTATATGGACTTTGGTGTTGGTATCATGTTAAATGGAACAGGCAGTGTACTTCCGTCATCCATGTAATTCATCCACAGTTTTGTTCTTGCAAACTTCCATTCGACATCACAGTCAGTCTGTCCATAAATAGAATAAATGGATGATGTAATGTATAAGTGAGTTCATTGCCGTGGCATTGTTTTTATTGCTTGCATTCTACTTGTATTACCTGATATACCGGTGTAATAAAGTTAAGTGCTTTTCCTGTACTTTTTGTACGTTCTTTATAATATCTTTTGATATTCAAATGAGATTAAGAGGGAATGTTGAGATTTGAGATCTAACGATGCTAACCCCAACAAACGTGCATGTGCCTTTGGAAATTTTTATAGATATAATATGTAAGTCATATGAACAAATGTAAATGTAGAGAATACATCAAAGAGACAGAAACCATCAAGAAGGCAAGATACAAACTAGAAACAAGTATCTCTACAATATGTCAAGCTCTTAACCGTCCCGAATCTATAAAATTTATGAATGAATTATACAAAAACAATTAAAACAACACTTCCAAAATTTCAGTAACACAAATCTTCAGGATATACCAAAATACAACTTCAGACTAGGCTAGACTTGCTATAGGCACATGGACATGTTGCGGTGTTAGATTAGTTTTTTGAGATCTCGACACTCCCCTTTTTATCTAGATTCTGCGATTCCCTCCGTTTTTATCTTCATTTGTATATTTTAAAGTTATGAGTTTTGAACATCTGTATACTACTGTACGTTGCTTCTTTTGTACGTTTGATTACTGACAAAGAAACTGTAACGACTGAAACAGATATAGTTACAACCTCATTTATCGAAATACATTTTATTGAATAGCAAATGTGTTTTTGTTAATATTGTGTGTTAGTGTAGTATACAGAGAAAAAAATAATAACTGTCAACGGAGACAAACTGACCATCAAAGGATCGTAGCTTGTCCAAGACTTCCAAAGAGTTTTTCACACTCCTGAAATAGTTAATACCGCTATTAACACAAGCTTTGTCACAATATTTCATAACGAGTTCCTTAACGATCGAAACACAAGCTTTGTCACAATATTTCATAACGAGTTCGAAAGAGTATATGTCAGAAAACTGAACCATGTGTAGAAATCATTTTATGGATGAAGATATAAAACGAAATTTTTCTTGTGTAATTTTGAAAGCTAATACAAAGTGTGAATATTATGCTATGAACAACAGTTTACGGTTTAGTCGTTGTTAATCTACGATCATATCTTCAGAAGAAGTTCTAGGTAGGAAAGTACTTGAATTTGTGATTCTGTTTTGAATATTTCAGTATATTGTAGGCTGTTTTGTACACAGGAGCAAACATAAATCGCTTTCCTTTGGCATTCAATTGTCTAGACCGTTTAGGTAGTAGTTTTAAAAAAAAGAAAACTACTCTTTATAAACTTCATGCGCCCGAAGCGCTTTTCTGGATCTACCTTCACCATGAACGCTCGTTGCTGAATATTTAAAAGCTACTGATGTATAAGAACCGAAAGAGTTGAAGAACTATATAACTAAAAAGTCCCAAAAAATAATAGCCTAATCCATCAAAGGTTTTAATTTGCTTTTGAAATGTTTTAGACGATTATCTGATCAACTGTTTCGATTCTTATACATCCTTGGCTTTCAAATATTTGACTCTGAGCTTTTCTGATGAAGGTTCATCCAGAAAAGCGCTTCGGACGCATACAATTTATAACGTATTGTTTTCATTTTTTATCAACAAGATTCGTGTATTTTTAAAGGAACGATCCAATTGATTTTATCGCTTTTCAGTAAGAGGAAAGGGTGTCGCTGATGACTTTTCGACATTCCTCGCAGTATATTTTAGAAGCTGGACGATATTTCGTTCCCTACTGTTAAAAAAAGTATAACCTCTAGGTCTGGGACATTTTTACAGTAAACTGAAATAACATGTATATCTCCAAAAGGATCATATTTGAACCTAAAATTTTCACAGATTCAAGAAATAGGAGTTTTGTTGTACTATTAACGTCGGCAGAAATAGATGTACATTCTTTTACCAATTAGATTTCTGTCAGGTTTTTTGTTGAAGTAGGCGTAATGTAGAATAGCTAATTCAGTATTATCGAAGTATGGAGGCACAGGGTTCTGAACTTTGAAATCATTCAATATGCTTGAAAAATTGATAAAATCAAGTCCTCTATTTATATATTATAGTATTTGGATTGCAGTCCAATTTTCTATATCACATATTGTCAGCTTTATCCATCGTCGGATGTTCTTATTGTGAAAACCTTCTGTATTTTTCAATTCATTTATGAAATATTGTGTGAAATTTGCGCCAATGTCAACAGTGCCAGAATCGTTTTATATTATTTAAAACATTCTGTTCAAAGTGAGATAATTCTTTCTAAACATTTAAAGTCTTACTGTCTGTATTTGGAACTGAAATTTACAAATACCTGTATATCCTCAAAAGAATGACTCATCATAGCTATCAACATGTTGATAAGAACGATTATGATAACCACGTGATAAATTCCAAATAAGTAAGTACCAACTCCTTCTACGATGGCTGTACTACTCTCCATCACATTGTTTGGATCTTTAGCAGTGAACACTAAAACAAAGACTCAATGTTATTCTGTATGGACGCAAATACATATCATGTATAATGAAAATTGTGATTATTCAATACATATCTTTAATTTTGTAATTATTTGCTTTATCTTAGTTTCCTAGTTCTCATGCATTATTTTCAAGCATTTTATACCCAAATGATATACTTTTAGGCCATCCAAAAAGAAGCATTTCATTTCAGTTTTAAAGTAGTAAATTCACGTTTGACATTAGAAGTTACAACTCTGTGTGCCTAAATCACAGAAGCAGTTCAAACAAACTATGGAATTCACTAAATGCTTCCTTCACCTTGCTTCGCTTAGCTCAAATTAATAAGTGATGAAGGCAATTAATTTAAATGGAATAATGATATTCCGTTGTTTTGATATCATAAACCAAATTTCACAACATTTAACTAAAACCTGTATGCAGTGGTCAACAACAGTAATGATCAGGACATGGAAATAAAACCACCAACAATGCCGGTAGCAGTAGAAACATTCTCTAAGATCGACACTACAATCAATAATTGACATGAAAGAATGTCCTCTTACTAAACATCTGAAAAGGGTTATAATGAAAGTGAAGTTAAATTCATAGCTACGTTTATATTGTATTGTTTGGAAACTACATGATTTACTTTCATCTGAAAATGCTTGAATCAGGATCCATCTGCCTCATGCAAAACGAGCGTATGTATATATAACAAACACTTTTTCATACTTATTTTGTTCATCAAACATCGCTTCCTTCAAACTCTTTTATATGATAAAAAGAAAAATGCAAACCATGTGCTCCTGAAGTAAACAATAAAATATTGGTGCGACTGTATTCAAATGTGAGTTTCACTTTCATACTTAAGTATGAAATGAATTAAAGGTACCAAAAACATGCAACAGAAAGATGCTAAAAGATTTGTAACTTTAAAACAAAATCATCAATTCTAACATAAGAACTAATAACAATCTACCGCAAATGCAATTGGTATAGAATAATGCACTTTATATTTCATCCTTAAACAGTACATATGCTTATATGACTGAACAAACTTATTAAGCTTATATATTCTCATAAAATAAATGTTTCACACCAAAGCATGGCAAAATTCGGACAACAAATGGTACCTGAGTAATTTGACACGCCACTGGAACAGAGTATTTTGTTACGATCACTGTCTACAACCATACAACGCCTGACTGGAGAGAGTAAAGCAAGAAATACAAGTACATTAAAACAGTGCATGCATGGTATTTGAGTTAGTAGAGAAATATAAAGAGGGTTTGTAGGAAAAATCTTATTTCATCCTTTGATACCAGAATGAGTGTTTTTTCTTTCTTTTTTAGACTCCATTTCCAGTAAAAATAACACATTATAAATTTCGTTCGAAGCGCTTTTATAATTTACCCAAATGGTCAAATTCTTCTAAAGTCAGCTTTGCTTGAGGGAGTTGGATCCTTTGTTTCTTAATATTTTAAAAAATTTTCAACCGAGTAATTTAAAACAAAATTATAGTATAAATCATGTCAGTACTTCTCAGCTAATGATAGCCTCGTGAGGACTAAACAGAATGATAAACATCAGTCCTTAAAAGGTAGAATTTACAAAATGTATACATGTCAGAACATAGAAACGATATTCTGCTATCTAAAAGTTTATGATGACTTTATTAATACAATTCTTATGCATTCACTCAATTCTTTGTTATATAGTTTAAATGTACCCATTTCTTTTGAACTATTTTATTCACCAAAAAATAATTAATATTCTAAAGTAAGAATTGTGAGTAATAGTAACACGAAAAAAAATACGAATACATTTATAGTATTTTTTCTGTAAATATCATATTAGTTCCATGCAATGTATATTCATTCACCAAAATAATATTTTTGTGTGTGGTGTATCTTATTTATGGGGAAATTTACAGCAAAAAAAACTGTTCTTTCCGCGACAAACTGTGGGCAGGCAAAATAACTGTTTGGGAATATGCACGTTAACGAATAATCCTTTATGATTTGGTGCGCTTTCGCAAGTTGAACAAATAAAAGTTATTCATATCAGTATAAAATACAGGAACGTCCTTCGTGAAAAGTTGAATTATTAAAATTTTAAAATATTAATTTTGATGAAATCTGGAAAATATTATTTTCACTCTGTCCCGCGGACCTCAGCTGATATAATGTTTACTCGATTAAATCATTTTAGATATAACTGACGATGAAGGTCATAATTATTTTGTCTTGGGCTCAGATCATTCGATAGATCCTTACAAATAATAGAAGAGGTTTCACCGCTAGTTCTAATGATAAATATAATGTATTACAGCATAGTACGAAATGTTTTTTATTTATTACTTATCCAATGATATATGTTCAATACGTTAAAATGATTTAATGTATAGAAGAAAAGATCGTGCAGTTAGTGGGTACATAAAAATGTGAATAAATATTTAGTGCCACACATGTTATTGCTTTTATAAATGTCATTACCTTTACGCCAAAACGGATTAGGATTACTAATTGAACCTGAAAAATTTCAAACATCCTGTACGCTACTCCCAATTTTGTCAGTATAAATAATTAAGTCGCAATGACCTTTAGCTAAATGAAATACTACTTATATAAATATATATTAACACCTAATTTGATATGATGTTCTCTCTTCTGTTTCAAAATAACAAGCTTTTTAAAAGACTGTTATAAATTGATAGTACTTAAATAACAGAACTTAAAAAGTAAAAAATATGGTCCGTCTCCTTGTTTTTGAGAAATGATCAATTGGAAATTTGACGGGAAAAAATTCTCTCTATATTTTTCTTGCATTTAACATTTTGGCACCTTTTTTCTTTCAAAAACTATGAAAATATAACAAGAATTGTATAAGATTTAAAAAAAAAATTTCTAAACTGTACGTAATAAAATAAGGAAAAGAAAAGTAGAGGTTAGTGGGCAAAATTTTTATTGGCAGAACATGGATAAAACTAGAGGATTCCAAATATCTGACAAAAAATCAAAAACATGAGAAGCGAACATCCTTAATGCAAGTTTCTTTTTATTCTGCTTATGATGTAACGTCCACAAACATTTACAATGGTGTTAATCAAACATCAAACGACTTGAAGATATATTTTGTTATAATTAAAGTGGTTTTTTTTACAGAGTTGGAATATTGTATATGCAAGACATGCGTATCAAATCTTCTTGATCCTTTTTTTAATGTACGTTATCGTTTCTTTTAATGAAGCACGTTATTTTCAGAATTATTTCAAAATAATTTGGGAAAAATCTATAGAATTACTAAAAGGTATAGATATAGCATATAACAATGCAACACATACGAATAAAAAAGAAATTAGAGGTAAACGGAAACGGAAACAGCAGCAATCAAAGGATACAAATGGCTAAAACACATATAGTTTTCAACCACAGACATGTGTCTATAAAATGTTTCAATCTCTAAAAAGTCCCAAGTTTTAAAAAGTTAATAGATTAAACAAGAACGAACAAATCGTTCTGCCATGGACAAAAATATTCAAATAAAAATCAAACGTTATGATGTGAAAAAAACAACTGACAAGATTCCTGACATAGGATAGTTGCATTAATATATCGTGGCCTTAAACTAGCTATGAGATCTCAGCCATCACCTCTTATCTATTACAGACTCACTCCAATTTTAAATTTAATTTCTCTTCCGAAGATTGTACTTTGGTTATTTCATGGGAACAAACTGTACAGATAATGTCTGTCTAGAACTAGAATTTTTTAATTCCCTTCTAGTAAAGTACAAAATACAAAATAGAGACGGCTGATATTGTTTTACAAAAAGCAGGGTTCAAGATTTATATTCCAAATATTTTTAAACACAAAAATACAAGTAGTACACTGGACTTTTACATGAATATAAAATAACCATTGTAGTGAATTCCAACAAATTGCCTGCACCATAGAAGATTCCCCAACCTTAAGTGTTCGCCAGTCGACGTCGACGTTAAAATGAATAGTGTCTAATATTTTAATATGTTTAGCATTAGCCTAAGACAGGAATTAAGTAATGAAAAATATCACTGGATTTCAAGTGGACATGAAAAGGTATGTGAAATAAAGATATGTTTTCAAAATATGTCAAAGAAATAAATACCAATGTAACAATATAGAAAATAAAGAAACAAAAATCCCAAGCAGTTCTTTGATTATAACGACAATGTCGTATCAATACCACCAATTTTAAATGGCATCTGTACTTATTAGCAGTAGAAAAAATTTCCATAAGTTATTAAAATTAATGACCTCTATTTTTTACAATGCATACCTCCGTCAGGACCAGGATGTTTAACACTGATATCGTTGATACTGACTTGTCCAAACATTGACCAGAACAAACTATAAAATGTCTGCTTTAATCTGTAAAATAAAACTTCTTTAGATTTTATTAATCCAAACGTCCGCATTTAACTCTAATAGTATTTGTTTTTTTCATCTGCTTACTAAGACGACAAGTGACATCATCAAAACATAGAGAAGGAAGATTCACTCAATACTTATAAGTGGAGATCAACTGAGAACGCCATGGCAAAATAAACGAAGGACGCCGATAAGAAAAACAACCACACAAAACACTTCATAGAAACCCAAAAACTGAGCAACACGAACACCACAAAAATCTGGAGATGATCTCAGGGCAGCTTAGAGGTTATACAAATACTACTTCACTAGTGACACCCTTTATTTTGTCCAAAACATACGTTTATACGTTATATTAAGTGATTATGGATCACGTAATAGCGGATTGGCAATTAATTCTTATCTCACCCTAAGACATCACCAAATTTGTAAACCATTGGACATGTAAACTTTCAAATCTTTTTAACTTTCTGAATTGAAAAACTTTTGTAGGACAAAGAATAGATAAGACACACGAAAAATCGACTACGATAAGTATATATTATAGATTTAAGTATAAAATATATTTCAGAAAATACATCTTTCTATCATAAAATGAACTTCCACAGCAAAAAATTGTCTATGCCATATGCAGGTATCAAGCTCTTATCTTTAGTTTAGAAAATTATGGATAGATTCAATAGCATATCTGCCTTCAACACCAAATTTTAAAAAGGACATCATTGAAACACTAATCTTGAATCATAAACTATCACTCGTGATATTCTTGACTTGAAACAGGAAAAATATAATGCTGGGTTAAACTAAACTTTGAGTGCTAAACAATCTCTTTCGTTTGTTTTGATCACCATATCATATGCCTGATAGTACAAATGCAGTAATCTGAGCACTCAATAGTTGCTTATTATATTATATAAATTTTAGACACAAACAGTGAATATATGTGATTTGACATTACCCCTGGAATGCCTCTGCAGCATGCACATATGCAGTCTGGTCGCCCATCACCATCTTAATTCTTTGAGCGCCGTAATACCAATACAAGTTATGTAGACCTACCATAAAGGCAAATAGTACCTAGAATTAAAAAAAAAACAATAAGGCAACACAGAGAATGCAATACAATCAGCGGACAATATATGATAGTGTTAAGGATACAATATGAGCATTAAGACAATAGTAAAATAATTATCTAATTGCATGTAAAAAGTAAAATCACAAAAATACTGAACTCCGAGGAAAATTCAAAAAGGAAAGTCCCCAATCAAATGGCAAAATCAAAAAAACAAACACATCAAACGAATGGATAACAACTGTCATATTCCTGACTTGGTACAGGCATTTTCTTATGTAGAAAATGGTGGATTGAACCTGGTTTTATAGCTAGCTAAACCTCTCACTTGTATGACAGTCGCATCAAATTCCATTATATTGACAACGATGCGTGAACAAAACAGACACAATAGGTAAAAATGTCAAAAATAGGGGTACAGCAGTCAACATTGTGTAATCATCCTAATCACTATAAAAACAAACAAATGTAACAAAGAAGCACAAAAAGGCATACATCAAATTTAAAATCCTCATTTTGCTTATATTATAAGACAAAATTGTCCTTGTAACAGTGTTTATAAGCATACATAGATAAAAATTAGACAAAAAGCAATCAAATGATGTGTCAACTTTCAATAGATTATAGACAATTATTCACAGAAAGAATATTTCGGAAGTGCTTATACTATTGAAAATCCTATACTATTTAAGCAAAATATCTTCGAATTGGCTATTCTTAACTTGATTGAAACATACTTGATCCTCAGGAAGACGTTTATCGATAATTATAATCGATAGGAATATGCCATTAAATTTCCTCTAACCCATCATATAAGTTAAATACTAAACGTTGGTCCCGACTATCATCTGTATAATATTTGTGTAGCTTGGGTTGTGTCTCATTCACTAATGTTCCATGGTCCAGGGGCGGATTCAGGCGAGGGCGTGGCGGGCGTGCGCCCAACATTTGCAAAGCATAGGTTGTCCTGAGCTTAATAAAGAATATTTCGATAATGTTACCTCAAAAAAATTTCAACCTAAAATCCTGCATCCGCCCCTGATGGTAAATATGCCGTTATTTCAAAAATGCATCTAAGCTTATCACATCAGACATGACAATTAGCAGAAATATCAAATTCGGGTTGTTGTCTCTTTGAAACATTCCCCATTTCTATTCTCAATTTTATAACTTAGGCAATCAGTTAAAAGTCAACTATATACTGACTTGGATTACAAAAATAAATAATATTACTTTGAAATGTAGATGGTAAATAGATGCGCAATTTTTTTTATGAATAGATCTCGACGTTTAGCATAATCGTCTACATTAAGTAGATGGTCTGCTTCATATATTGATCTTAATACTAGATATTGTCCCAAATGGACGCCTCCAAACAAGAATATATAACAAACGTGATGATTTAAACTTTCAAATTTTCATCTTTCGATGTTTCAGCAGTAATATACCCTCGGCGCCATTGTATGGCGGTTACATATTTCAATTGATATATTATTCATTTGCATATTCGAACTATAACTCCATTAACAGGGGTGTGCTTCTTACACAAAATATGCTCCGTAAGAGTTATAACGAAGAAGGACTGAAATCGATACTACACAAGTTTACAGTCCCCATCACGAATTGTTGACCGATACGATGTGTCGGTATCGCAACTCATAAGTGACATGTTTTCGCGGTGTTAGATCTTTGATCTGTAATTTTACCAATGGTGTCCTATTCCCGATTGTGAGATCCAGCCCTTTCGGAGTTAATGTAATTTTCTCATTTTCTGTTTGTTACCTAGATTTGTCCCTACGACACGAGTTTGTTTACGAGTTTTCAAAATCGGTTAACTACTGTCGCCTTAAAAAACACAACGTTAAGGCGTCAATATAGCTTGGATAATTAAACAAACATATTGTAAAGTTTTTAGAGGTTTATGTTTTCAATATGATATTTCTGTAAACATCTCTACAATTGGTACACAATGTTTGACTGAATTAAGTGGACCAGAAAGGAAGGAAATTGACAACTTCGGTCTACCTGAATAGTTAGCGCACAAGCGTTTTACCAAACTATTTCTTTAATATTCCACAACTTAAAAGACAAGAAAATGACTTCAGTAGCAAACAAAATGAATCCAACATTCAGTAAACATTTATCATGATGCATGTATTATGTGCCGTCATCATTAAGTTTACATACCAATGTGAATAGCACCATAAAACGAGTAATATCACCAATCATGCGTCCTAATGATATCTGTAAAGGACCTAACACTTCAAAAGCAGGCATCAGAAATGTTGTTCTAGCAAAACTAATCACATTAGCTATGGCAAATAACACATCTGAAACGATTTCAGGGTCGTCTGCCTTCCAATGGAATCTGGCTGAAAAAAGATATTAGTTTTCTTTAAAAATTTATTGCGTATAACTAAACTGTTTCTGTGTTATTAAAATTTTACATGCCGAGATTACAAACTGTTTTCATGCCTTCATGCGTAATTGCAAATTTATTACGCTTATTATATCAATATAGCAACAGGAGAATGCTTAATTTCATATGTAATTAATTTGGCTTTGATTTGTCAGTACTGTAAACTCCTATGAATAACCCAATCTTCATTACACAGAAGGTTAATTCATAGATTTTGCTGACCTTCAGTCAACCTTAGTTCATATTTTTATCTTGAGGTGTTCGGTCTCCCGCGTTATTGTATCGATTATGGAATAATGATAATATATTACATGTCTTCAGAGAACAATATTTGACGGGCAGGATATGTCTTATGTACAAAATCAAAGAAAACATTTGAGACAAGTTATTGTCTGAGAATATACCATGGTTGTTTTCAATGTTATATATATATAACGATGATGAAAAAAAGGAATTCCGATAACGATTTTTATTTTCATTATTTAACTCTACATGGTTGATTGATACTAGCTGTCTTCCATTGTATTATGATCACATCAGAAGTTTGCTACACAAAGTTAAACTTCTCCAATAACATTTAAAATTAAAAAAATCTGTCTACTACTTTCCTGACAATTATCATTTGATAACCGTTTCCATATGGGTGTATTCTTATTTTTCAGTTTCATCTTTTTTCATTTCTCTTAAAATTGTGTTTCCAATATATCAACAACATTCTGTTTTCCTGCAAACCCGGTTTTGCATCTTAAAACGTCGTTAAAAAGATTGATGTTTCTATGGCATTAAAGATATATAATCATCTTAGGTCAATGCTTTGTTTAATTACTTAAAAAAAACTTAATATATTCTTTTACTCTTCAATCAGCAAGAAACTGAATAATTAATATATGTGTGTATTTGTATGTATATGTGTGTATATGTGATGAGATTTAGATTCCTTAACTAGTTAATTTTCATATTACACGAAACATACAGATTGTGGCTAGTGGGCTAAACAAAACATTGACATATGAACGAAATTATCGGGGTTGGTTTCATCAAGTTATGAAGAGAGGGTTTAATTGAAAAAAAAGAAATGTTGGTCTTTTCTTCGCTAACTCGAGTTTAGTAAGAAATCACAATGAGGGGTTTCTACCGCAAGGAATATTCATCTACCATTTTTTAAGTTCACCACGGATAATTTGCGAAGAATGATTTTAAATATTTGTCCCAAACTACACACAAATGTACAGAAAATTGAGCCTCCATAAAAAAAAAACATTGCTGATACTGTTGTTTCCTGAATAACTCAACGATCAATTACAGTTTACTAGATTCAATAACGCAGAATGGATTAACATTCTGACAAAGATTAAAACTCAAACTTATATAGCTCTATACTCACAAGCTTCCATGAAATAATTTTGTGGTGAGTAACGAGGATTTTTTATCTCTGCTAATAGTAAATCAAAATATGTGTAGTTGTCCTGCCGTAGAAGGTCGTTCGCACGTTCTGCGCCATTAAATTCCCTGTAAAAGCGAAATGAAAATTGTAAAACGTCTATAGCGTAGTTGTTGTGTGTGTCATTACATTGACATTGTGATTAAATAGTGAATTTTGTGAATTTGGATTTAAAAGTGTATACGTGAAATATAACTTTTCGTATAAAGCTTGAAAATGGTGTTTATCTTCTAATTTATTATTATATGAAATAGGTTTAAATATATTCTTATTTATTATTATATGAAATAGTTTAAAATATAATCAGAGATTAAACCATGTTGCAATAAGAATAAGACGTACAATTACTAAAGAACGAAGACAAAAAAAATTGATGAATAGACAACATGAGCTTCTACAAAACAGGCAGTTGAATTGTATGATGTAAAACTTAGTTTGACTTCCTTCCACTCTTAACAACTTAATCATTTGCAGAACAAACCATGATGACTTTCGTCGGTTAAATTATGCTGGCGATATTTAAAGGATGGTGTGCCTTTTTATTTACAAACATGTAATTACTACTTTCCAACTTACCTGTCAGCATTAGAGACCATGATTTCTGTATAAAATCTTAACACATACGATGCTAGATACATCGATATTACACTAAAGTCCATAAAATTATAATAATCTGTGAGATATGAGTGAGCGCCTGTACAATAGAGTTGTTTACACTCTATCCACAATAGACCTGAAAATTAAATAAAAGAACTCATAATTCGTAAAAAAAAAAATAGTCATCTCAAATAATTTGAACTTTTACAAATACAGTAATTTGATAGGAATATTTCTGAAAGGAACAATTTTGTTCTTTACATGAAAGAAAATATATCATACTAAATGAGATATGATTTGTGTGGCGCTTCTCGTGTTACCAGATTAATATATATTAATAAAGGCGAACAGCATATTTCGTCTTTCAACAGTCGTAATAACGCTACGTTGTTCATCAGTTGAAAACTGGAAGTTCGGGCTCGGGGATCTCAACATCCCTTTTTTTCGACGGTCTTTTAATATCAATATTAACTTATCATGGAACTTTAACTATTACATAATTATAATTTTTTTTAAATGCCGTTATTGTTGGGGTTGTCCACCAGCTAATTCTGAAATTATGATTGGAGCAATGCAAAAGACATAACTTCAGATAATGGAAAACTCACCTAATATCCAAAAGACTATACAAAACTGTACACGAGTAAGCAACGTATTTGCAGGTCTTAAAGTCTCCTTTAATAAACTATTAATTTTCTCGTCTTTTGAAAGGTGTATAAAGGCAGGATCTGTAAACTCTTTCGTTGAGGTGATTGACACTCCACTCTCCGCTAGTCTGAAAGTGGCAGCAGCTAACAGAATGAGGAAACACACATGTGATGTGGTATGGGTAATAAACTTTGTTACTGGACAACGCATCACAGCTCCAAGCTATAAATAAAAAAGATGTAAAATTGAAGAAGGCACCATACCTTTAGCGAGAAATAATATTAAAAGGAGGTTTAAAAATAAACTATTTTGTATTTACATAATGCATCAAAGCGTCAGGCTATAACGACCATTGAAGAGAGAGTGTATCAAATATTCTATGTTAGACAGTTTTAAATATGAACAGTATCATATGAATATAATATTTGTTCAGGTTTGTCTACAAGTCATAAGTATCATATATGATGTAGTATAATGATTCATAGTATAGAATTAAATCAGTTGCATCTTATAGATGATCCATTAAATAATTCGAATGGCAAACTGTAGTGTATGTGTTACAATGGGACACTGGAATGGGGATATGGTCATAATTTGCACTAACAATAATGATTGTGACACGTAAGTCGTCACAAATAGAGAATGGACAGTATAAGGACAAACAATACTGAAAGTAAATTGGTTAGAAATGTATATTTGATTATATCAAAAGGTACAACAAGGTGTATACAACAGTAAGTGTAATTTGGTAATGAATCATGGGTTCAAATAATGCAAAAACAAACTCATTACTCTCTCAAACTACATCTATACACATTCTGAAAATTGACAGATTATCAAGTGTTGAAGCTACAATAAAGGTTGAAACAAGATCATTAAAATTCAAGACATGACCATTTTGTCTGGACATCTCTTCATATGTCTACAGTACAACTCAAGTTATCATTTGGTATCGCTTTTGTCGATTTTGTAAAAATTTATTTTCCAAATGTTAAATATAATTTGCAAGAAGAATCAGATTTTTTTGATTTTCTCTGTAACAAAATTGGCAGCAGGAAGAAACAAGTCGCTCATGAATTAAGACAGAATATGGGCGATATGATAATTCATATCATCTCGGACAGCAACAACATGGTCACAGGGATCATATCCAAACATCGACTTTTCTTAGTTTATAGATAAGAGTGATATTTTCAATATCAGCATCGGAATTTAAAGAAGTGTAGTTAGTGCTTATCTTTCTGTTTGTCTTTTCGTAGTTGTAAGTTAGAATAGGTATTATAATTAAGTTTTATCAAAGTTGGAGGCAAGCAGTCTTGGATTAATTTTTCAATTAATAAACAGTGTGATCTTCTAGTTTTTCCATATGAGAGAAAAGCATATATATATAAAACAAAAATTTAAGCCAAGGTAATTTTAGTTCCTTACTGGGGAAATAAACAAAAAAAAACTTATTACAATCTGATAAGATGGAACTCAACTGAATACAATGAATTGAACTGAGTTTTCGAAGTAAATAAATCCGTCTATTGTTGTTGTCATCAATAACGGTTTCTTTTAGAAACGACATCCATGTTCCATGATGTTTTCATTTAGACCGAAGGAATATGCAGTTATTCCACTTGTTGTAACCGTAATCTCGTTTTCTTCGATTGTTACATAGCCGAATACAACTTCTTACCGCATTTTTTATTGTTCAACGGGTTCCACTCGTGGAGCAAGAACTGCTTACCCATAATGAGTTTAATCCATTGTTTTGTCTTAAAGGCGTTCGTATTGCTTTTGTTTTTAGTGTTATATTGTGTGCCGTTTTGAATTTCAATGTTTTACTATTGATAACAGTCTTCTTCATACCTTGTCCTTAAATAATTTCAAACTTTCACATTCGGTCAAGTTTTATGGTTGGATAATTTACATGAACCGATGGTTTCATGAATTTGATAAAAAATTTTAAGGTCTGACAAGAGACAATAATGAATCAGCTATTGTGTGATGCTTAATCAAATGACATGACTCATCCACGTATTTTGTCTGATGTTGGGTTTGTATTGCTCAACCTGTAATATTCTTTGTGTTGTTTTTATGAACTGTCTGTAAAGAATATGAATTAATGTTTCCATTAGAATATTACTGTGCATATAAGATAATAAGCTAATGCGAACATTGTATGCAAATAGTTTTACAATCAATAAACCTGCAAACGTTAAGTTTCTATTTATAAAAAGGATAAAGGGTCATATTATGCAATTGGTCATAGTAACGTTATATTTTTCATCCAATGAAGAGTTCATTTCTTGACATTTTCTTCTTAAATGTTAAAAACTCCTGCTTATTTACAAGAAACGATCATTTTGAAATGTAGTAATCAATTCTGTTTGATGTATAGATGTCAAAATATAACAATTTTATAATTCAGGGGAATCGGTTGATTGATTAATCCCGTGATACCATGGAAATCTTACAGAACAAAGTCAATGCTCTGACAGAATGTTTTCCGTGAAAATTAACAGTGATTGTTCACAAATCAATTATCTTGTGATGAATTAGGTACAGCATCTATCCTTCAAAGTGTCGTTAATCAAAGTCTATCTGGCATTTATCATCACTTTATAGTGACCAAGAGACAGCATTAAAGCCGCTCATTTGAAATTTTCGATTCGATACATTGATATGGAATACCGATTCTTATTTTGTGTAAACAGTTTTATGAAGTGCTTTTATAGTTCAATTTATAAATAAGTTGCATCATCATATATCAACATTTAATGATATCCAACGCATCAAGTCTTGGGAGGATAAAGGTGTGTATTTGTCGTCACTTTTCTAATTTATCTTTAATATTTCAGTTAAAGTTGTATGCAATAAAAATTGAAACACTTAGTAAATAAAACAGGTTCATATATTTATACACAAGATTCGTTTCATTGTTGTTTTTCTCTTAATGAATTCGATGGAAAAACATATTATTCAAGAATTCGTGCATCTTTTTGTAGTTTTATTTGGATATCAACGCGTTGGCCGAAGCATATTGTGTATACTAAAAATGTGCGCTCGATTAACGATTTACAAAATAACATTCATTACTTATAATTACAGATTTTATTTATAACATATGTATGCTACAATCCTAAAATTACGATTGAAATCAAGTTTTTCCTTTGTTTTCCTATGCATAGTTTTGACGTTGCAATATTGTCATGAGAAGAATGTAGCATTGTATTGGGAAATACGATCTAAATTTGGAATGCCTCGCGATTATGAAATATACTTGTAATGTGATTATAGATAAATGAATAAATAGATATGAATATCCTTTTGCACAAATGCAAAAAAAACCCAGATTTTTTTAATTGCTATGTTAACCTTTCACAAGAACATAATTCAATATTGATCGGTTCTGTGAAAGTCAAAAGTATCCGTTGCTTTGCAAGTGTGGAATGCACTAAGTTTTAAATAAATATCAATTTTGGAGTAAAATGTTCATGTTGTTGTTGCGTTTTTGAATAAAAGAATGAGTCAGCGCACGCTTCATTAATATGTGATTACAGAATATTAAATAATGCAATACTATTATGTTCACAAAATATTTTATTAGAGGCGCCTGATTATATTCATAATTCACAAAGTTTGCCATTTCCGAGAGTAATGAATTACAATGTATATGAACGTTTACAGCTGTATAATGCACTATCTTTGTGTAATTGAATCCCCAACTTTTACAGCTGTATAACGCACTATCTTTGTGTAATTAAATCCCCAACTTTTACAGCTAACTGTATAACGCACTATCTTTGTGTAATTAAATCCCCAACTTTTACAGCTAACTGTATAACGCACTATCTTTGTGTAATTAAATCCCCAACTTTTACAGCTAACTGTATAACGCACTATCTTTGTGTAATTAAATCCCCAACTTTTACAGCTAACTGTATAACGCACTATCTTTGTGTAATTAAATCCCCAACTTTTACAGCTAACTGTATAATGCACTATCTTTGTGTAATTAAATCCCCAACTTTTACAATTGAATATTCTCTCTTCGAATAATCATTAAAATATTGGCATTCTCTTACATTTCTTTTATAAAAAATCAACAAAATTGAAGTTTGGAACCATCTTTATAATTTAGTCACAGTCAAGTGGAAATATGCCATACTTATGTTAGAAATTCTACACATATGAAGTCAAGATTTGATACTCTGAACTTAAAAAAGATTAAAACTTGTTTTAATTTTCAATGGCCTTGCTTATTTTGAAGATAACGCTTCTCTCGATCTGATAATGGTGTTTTTACCAAATTTCCGTTGGAGTTTTATACTGATTGATATCTTATCATAGGCTAACATAGTTTATTACATGTAACTAGTCATAATAAAGTTTGAACTAGCTTTCCGTAGCTCTGAGTACTCGTAGTTCGTTAAGGTGTGTCTTGTGTCTTTTTGTTTTTTTGTATTTTGTGCTTAGTGCCTTTTCATGGTGTTTTTGTCAGTTTGTTCTACTGCTGTGCTATTACAACACTGTCCATGGTTAGGGGAGGGTTTATTAGTCTTAATTCTCTATTTTTACTCTCACTTTTTTTAAATCAGGGATCTTTAAAAGCTTTCTACATACGCGCTTGATTTGGGCCATTTTGTAAGGCCCTACGGTGAAGTTCAGTTATTAACATCTTTGTCCTTTGCACTTTTGATCTACTAATGGATAGCTGATTCATTAACAATGATCCACATATCCTTATTTTTATATTGGTGTTTCACAATTTAAGTGGAAATTGACTTATCCCTTTATATTATAATAGGACAAATTTATGAAAATCTTTAAGGGATAACACTACTAATTCTTAGCCCCTTGCTTTCTATGTTAAATTTTGCAACTTCAAGCATGCATATCTATTTTGTTTTAAGTTTAAATAAAGTGATAATCATTTCATGTTAAAACTATACCTTATCCTGACTTGTGCTAAAAAGAATCAGCATACCTTTAATAGCATATTAGAGCGCACTGGTTCAAGGAAGTTGAGTATTACAAATAAAGGTACTTCTGATCTGAGCAACAGTGCAAATATGCCCTCCAATCTTAATTTCATATACTTTTCTATCATTCAAAAGAAACTTTTAACAATGGTTCTACAGTGATCCCAAGTCCTTAAGCTTTCATTTGAAACCAAAATTCCCCAAATATTTTATTTATTGACAAAGTTACAGCTATGCGTAGGAACTATTTTGTTTAAGATATGTACTACTTTCTTGTATGCTGTTTATAACCAGGCCAAATTAGATTCTATATATAAGATATATATCAAATATTAGCGCCCAGACACAAAATGATTGACGGATGATACTGTCTGAAACAGTAAATCGAAACCAAAAAAAAGTTAAAGAGAAAATAATTCTAATCGAAGTATTGTTTCAAGGTAAACCTAGTCAAACTGTCGGCTAATTAAAAAAAATAAACCAAACAGTGTTTTAAATTTGCATTAAATATATGCATAAGTTGTAAAACATGCAAAAGCATTGTAAATATGGTCAGTGTACTGTCATGTCTTTTGCTTTTGTATAACTTGTTCATTGGTTGGTTATACCAAAAAAAGAAAATCCATTAATCGTATTAAAAAGTTCTAGACGGCTTACAGACATTCACTAGCATGTACTTATTTCTATATTTTGCTTTTCTGCGCAATGATATATAATAGATTAACGATATAAGCATACTTTTCATTTATATTCGAGTATAATGATGTATAGAAGTTTATTGATAATAAACTCATCATAGATACCAGGATTAAAATTTTGTACGCCAGACGCGCATTTCGTCTTCAAAAGACTCGTCGGTGACGCTAGAATCAAAAAAGTTATAAAGGCAAAATAAAGTACGAAGTTGAAGAGCATTGACGACCCAAATTTCGAAAGGTTTTGCCAAATACGGCTAGGAAAACATACAACCTGTCGATAAACAGTTAATTTGTGGTCATGGCAACACAGAAGTGCTGACTACTGGGCTGGTGATACCTTCGGGGAGAAAACTCCAACAGCAGTGGCATGAATGGGACTAAATACACCTGATTATGACCTGATGATATGCAAGGCTCTAAACAGTACCTACTTGTATATGAAGTCATGCATAGCCAAAGTAGCATGCTCATTTCGCGTGCGTATTAAACATATGTAAACGAAGATTTAGTCACATGAATGAAAAAAACGTTGAGAGGTATGTTAAAACATAAATACAACCGTCTCTAAGAGCTTTATGATTTCGGCATAACATTTATGAATGCTTATTTGACATAGATTAACTGTTGGTTATAAGTTAACATTTTTCTTCCATAAAACATTCATTTGTACGTAAAACATCCATGTGTCCGTTAAACATTCATTTGCACGTAAAACATCCATTTGTCCGTTAAACATTCATTTGTACGTAAAACATCCATTTGTCCGTTAAACATGAATTCGCACATAGAATAAACGCCTTCTTAGAAAAGCGCTAGATATCATACAAACGTCTATAAATAATAAATACCTACCTTTGTATTTGGCGCAATGATATATGATAGTGCTATAAACGGTATCGTAGGTAGAAACAAAATCACAAAACACAACTGTTTCCACCAACTTAAAGACTGAAGAAAGCCCATCTCTGACCCGTACCATAGACTTGTCATATGCTGCTGACAATTAGGATGAGCTACAAACTGAAACAGATAAAGTAACAGCACTATACAATTATATTCTGACTTCTCCCTCTATCTTGAGTGTGTGTGTGTGGGGGGAGGGGGGGGGCTAAAACAGATGAAACACGTTACAAGACAAACAAATATACACTGATTCTCTCTCTCGATCGATCGATCGATCGATTTGTGCGCGTACAGATGTTTGTGCAAACACAAGCTATTTGATATTGTTGAAAATCTGTGAATATCAACTTTTGTTATATATTAAAAAATGTCTACGCAGATTTTAAATGGAGATCTGCCAATTCTGAAGATTACAGTGTAACAATGAAGTGTGATCAAACTGGAAATATACACAACAACTATTCCAACTATTCATTAAAAAGGTTAACAAAAACATGTGTTGGTTGTCATATTTGTTTTTTTGTTTTGTATTGTTTTGTACATTTATCAGGCCGTTAGTTTTCTCATTTCAATTGTTTAACATTAGCCATTTCGGGGATTTGTTTTTAAATTGTTGTGTGGTATAGAGATTGCTCACTTTTGAAGGCCGTATGGTGACCTATAGTTGGTAACTTCTACATCATTTAATCTCTGATGAGGAGTTGCCGTTTTTCATGCGTCATAAATGGGAAGAAGAAATATTCCGCTACTTATCGATGACCATGATGATCCTTGTAATATTTCATTTCTTAAAAATTAAATCCGATCTTTTAACGGATCTTACTTTACAGATTAAATTATTCTTTTAATTCACATAAGCCTGTTTGAACGGCAAACTGCTATCGAAATCCTGAACATGTGTACAGAACTTATGGAAGTTAACTGTTAAACTTTACGTGCGAATTTTCATGTTGTTGCAGGTACAAAAAAAAAACACATTGAAGCGGCATTAGCTACGAATTAAACTAAACATTAAAATATTTTTTTTTCTGTTTCAAATATTTATAAATTATAAAAAGTGGAATATAGAAATAATATAATGCTATTAGCAGTCAGGTTGTTCAATTTCGTCAAAATAAGCTAAAAACATTACTGATGTACTATTGGCTTGCAAGTCAATAATTGAACCTCATTTGAATCAGTATTCATGCAACCTTTGATTTTAATCTTAATTGCGATGTACGTGCTTGTATGCCTATTTATATTTATGTTTATATCAGGTTGCAAGATCATCGGCAGTCATCGGAGGTCATCTCGGTGGATATGTAGATGGCGTCTAGTCTACGTACGAATCACTGATACATTATAACGTGTCCATGCAATGTCATTTTTTCTTTTGGACTTTTTCTAATTTGGATAAACGTTTTAGTATGTTATAAATAACATATAAGGATTTGGGTCAAATCGGTGAACATGACTTTTACAACTAATGCTCTTTTAACAATAACCGTTGAAGAAGCAAATACACAACAAAAGCCCCCAAACCAGGCAAGTAACCATGCATTCTTCTTTTTAAAAACTGAAATAGTATACAAAATTATTTCTGAGAATAAAAATCAATGTTACTTTAATCGACGTGGGCGGCATCAGATTATCTTTTTTGATGGCCTTATAATACTCAAAAAATGATTTCCAGTTAATAATGTGTCTGCACTTACAGCATTAAAAATAAATTATATAATTCTGTTATCAGCAATCCAAGTTGGCGTCGGAGACATTAAAAGATATTCCAATCTAGATCTCATAAAGAATAACCATAAAAGAGAACTTTAAACTTTGATAAAATCTACTAAAAAATTGTCAGATAAAAAATATGATTTATTTATGGGGGTCTTACTGTTTGAGGGAAATGTACTAATATAATTGATTGCATTTTGAGGAATGACAGTTGTATATTCCACTTGAAGGAACTTAGTCAAGCTATAGCAAATATTATTAAACAGGTCTTCTTGGTTTATACAACATCTAATAATATTTATGAGAATTTCTTGGATCGAAATAATTGCATTGGCTTAAAAAATGAAATTTGATTCGGTAGAATGTAATAGATAGAAAGCTTTTGCATAGTAAAACAGGCATATGGAGAAAATTAATCAACGGTTATAACACGGCGATCATAATTATGTTTGTTATCTTATATTAACAGTATTGTGTTATTTATTATATTGCTTGACATCAGGTCAATTTCTTTTAATATTTCGCTTTTAGGGTGATTTCTTGCATGCCCTTAATAGTCATAAATGTTAAAGAGAAAGAGCCAACGAACGCTACTAGATGTAATTTGTATGTCTATGGATCCTGGTTTACATATTTGTTGTGTTATGTAGAACACAAATCAATTTCCAAAGTCGGAGTATTAATCTATGTTTATATTACTAAAACAAGATGGCATAAAAAGACAACAAAACAAAAACCATTCAGAGCGGAAGAAATTAGTCCTAAATCATAATGTCTTACAATTATTTTTTGAATGTTGATCTATCTTATTATTATTTGTTTGGTCGATTATTTAATGTTATTCCTTTTATTATTTAGTTGGTTATTAAAACTTAAAATTGTTTTAAAGAATCGCCAATTTTCCTAGAACTACGAAACTAGTTAAGTTATAATATAAAAAGAAGATGTGGTATGATTGCCCATGAGACAACAATGTTCTTGAAGTTGCACCTGTGACTTTTTACATAGCTATTTTTTTTTATCAAACTAAGTATTACTGAATTAATTTTACAAAAACGAAGTATCTTAAACACAAGGCAATAGTTGTCGTACATATGTTCTGAAGGATATCAATTAGTCAGTTATCAAAGTCAAAAGATAGCCTCCAATTAATAAATAAAACTAAGAACCAATTAAAATAAATGATTAAAGACAACTGCTTAACATAAGATAGTTTGCTTCTAAAACATCAAAGTCTGATGGGGAAACGGTTAGTGCAACAACTCAGTTCTCTGAAATCCCTCTAAACAAGATCAGTAGGTACACATAACTTATATTTACTGATAAACATAGATATTAATAGGTTGGGAAAAATGTATAAATTACAGATGTAAGAGTTCAAATATGAAAACATATCAAACAGCAAATTTAAAGTAAAGTATGAACTTGAAAAGTACCTTTTATTGAATATAGATAAAAATGTTACAAAAAATTATGCAAAAATAGAACAAGTAATAGTATGCTAGCTATTGAACGTGGTCGATACAATAAAACAGCCTTATGCCATAAAGAGGTGGAAGATGAATTCCATTTTATCATAACATGTACAGAAGATAAACCTAGGATCAAAATGTTTAATGAAATTTCTGTTTTAATTCATTGAGTCATGAAAACAAAAAATGATTTTATAATTTCTTATGAAGAATGCGATATATTAATTATTATTGTTAACAGTATGAGTGAAATGTATAATGAGAGAAACAACTATATGAACTGTGTATGACTCATGACTAATATTATGATATATATAATCAAGATATTTAAATGATAACTTTATAGAGGAGGCATGTTGTCAAAAGTAGCATTGTAATAAAAATAAACATTTGTTTTTTCAATGCTACATGTTTGTATTGTTTTCTGTCTATCGTTTTGTTATTTATAGGTCTTTCTTAGGTTACAATCCTTTTGTTTGGATTTTAACCTAATAAAATTCTTATTCTTATTCTTATCAAACATAAAGTCATCATAACTTATTGTACTAATTCCGATTTGTACCATGTGGGTATGTGTGAAGGGTAAAATTTCACAATTAGGCCAAGAGATCTGATGTGATAACGCCAAGCTTACGCAGATTTCAAGTATTCAACCTCCATAGAGGAATTCCAAACAAAAACTGGAAGAGCTTATAAATTCGTACTTTCGCTACCCAACTTGCTTCTTGCAACAGGCCATGTCTGTTGAAAAATAAAATGACAGATGTGCATTGCCATTTGCCGCTATAGTCAGAGGGGTATAATAACGTAATATGAGCTCCGGCCAGTTCACAAGTGCATGTGATAAGGCAAAGTTTATTTCTTATACATCATTCCTAAATTATATCATACTTTCTTTTCTTGATATCTAATGGCCATTTTAAGGCGAGCTAAAAGATCCCTGGATCCCTCAACTACCGAATCTGTGCCCTCGCTTAATACGGCTTCTACTTCCTGAGTACCTCTACATAGATCCATCAACTCACAGGCAAAGTCCATACACTTCACAACTAAACCATGATATTCATTCTGAAATTTTATAAATGTGTATTATAATAACATACAACTGGAGATGCAATACGTTTTACTATTGAATAATTCTAAACTATGACAGTAATATAAGAATTTAGATAGTGATATGGAACTTATCCATGATATTCTTTCTCAAATTTTAGAGCTATGAAACAGACAAAATGTTTTAATTTTGTCAAGTCCCAAGTGCAGTAATATCAAGAATTTATAACTATTTATTTAACAACAATGCCGAAATAAAAGTCACGGTCATTGAAGCACACATCACTGTACGTATTATACGTATGATGTTTCTCTATGTACAAAATCATTTTGGATACACCAAATTCGTACTTTTTTACATACCAATATTCAAGCTCAATTCATTATTCCAGAAGGCCAAGAACACTCCCGTTATTGATAAAAGTTCTCCTAATTACAGACTGGTTTCCATAATTACATGTAGACTACAGGCTATTCAAACGGACAGGAGTGATACCTATTTCCAGTGATGATGAAAAACCTTTTTTTTTAAATAGAATTTGCCACCTAGGGTTTGGATACTGTCAATACAAGTATTGTTTCTACCAAAAGTTAGGACAGAAAACAATACCTTATTATTTCAAAGATAAAACTAGACTTGATATTACTTATACCTACACCAAACCGGTTGACTTTCAATCACATAACATTACGAGAGACCTTAACCCTCAAGGATGTTAAACCAAATCCTCTCAATTTACTTTTGCTCATTGTTCACATAAAATTGTACATGTAGTTCTGCTGGTCAAATATCATTCATCAATCAAGAAGACAAAACAAAGCAACAAACAAAATACCGAAGGAGACTAGGTGCGTCGACAGGGTAAGCGTCTCCTGCTCTGCATCAGCATCATCCGCTATGCGAATCCAAAGTTAAAATGTCACAATCGGGAAAAGGACATGATCGGTAACAATTTGATGACTTTTCTGGTATCTAATGACCATTAATGGTACCACATTGTTTGGTACCATTAAAACGTTTAAACCCGCTGCAATTGTTTGCACCTGTCCTAAGTCAGGAATCTGATGTTCAGTAGTTGTCGTTTGTTGATGTGGTTCATAAGTGTTTCTCGTTTCTCGTTTTTTATATAGATTAGACCATTGGGTTTCCCGTTTGAATGGTTTTACACTGGTAGTTTTTGGGGCCCTTTATAGCTTGCTGTTCGGTGTGAGCCAAGGCTCCGTGTTGAAGACCGTACTTTGACCTATAATGGTTTACTTTTATAAATTTTGACTTGGATGGAGAGTTGTCTCATTGGCACTCATACCACATCTTCTTATATCTATAGACTGCGAAGACATGTCAATATAGTAAGTTCAAACAGAGACATATCGTAATCTTACAAAGAATTCGTGATGGTGACCGTAAAACTTATGTAGTGTCGATTTTAGTCGTTCTTCTTCATAACTCTGTAAACAATACACAACTTATGGTATTGATATCCAAAGACACAAAATATTTAATGCCTCAGTCAATCAACTTGATAAAAAATTACTTCAAGTTACCTGTGGGTGCAGTTGATGACTATGCCACAAAATGGACCAAGCGCGAGTCAGGTATACCTAGATGTATCAAGGTCTAATCGCTCTAGGATTAACTACTATGCACCATAATCACATGGATTTCCAATTCTTTCATGAAGACCGAGGTTGTGGGTGCAATGTTCTCTCTTCATGAATAATATGTTGTCATTCCATCAGACAAAGCCTCAAACAATATTGTTTTTATATGCAAACATCATTATTTGGATTGAATAACAAAAGAACATGGAATTCACTACTAATCTGAGAAACCAACTAATACACCAACATCATTCACGAAAACGCGATTTTAGAAATAACATTAAAAGCTAGTGCCCATTTTCCTGCATCCGGTTATAGAAAATACAAATCCAACATTTCCTCCAAAGATTTTATTTAACAAAAAAAAAACGATCATGGCAATCTCCTTTCTATGTGTTAAATGGCGAAACGTCACAAAAAACTGATGAAAATCGATATATAGCTGGTTCATCAAAACATTTTTCGAAAATTCGTATAACCGCTATTTATACAGAAAAAGATGGCCTCAAAAATATTTTATTGAGGTATTCTCAACCAGTGGTATCAATCAGACGTGGATTCTTAAAAATTCAAAAAATCTACTCCAAAATCTTCAGTCACAATCATTTTACTTTTGCAGTAATATCAAAACTTTTAATTTTTCTACGATCTAGGCTTCTATTGCCCATGCTCAATTGAAAGATTGACGATCTTCCCATCAAACACTGCTTTTGTATAAAAATGGGAATCGCAGATACAATACTCTTGTTTTATGTCATGAATAATATTATTTAACAACAATGATCCTAATAACAAATACATCGTGAACGATATCATAAAAATGCCAGACTTTTGAGAATAGAGGGAATAGAATTAGAAAAGGTACCGAAATAGTTCAATCTTATTCATCTATGGGTTGAATATCTCAGTTTTAACACGTTAAGTTGAAATCAAAGTATCGAAGATGCATACTTGCTTCAGTTTACAAAAAAGTGTGTTTCAAAAAGCAAAAAAGTATAACAAAAATGCCAAACTCCAAGGTAAATTAAAAAAGGGGAAGTCCATAAAAGCTGACAAAATCAACATTATCAACCAACGTAACAAGTGGGAAACAACTGTCATATTCCTGACTTGGTACATGGTTGGTTAAACCTGGTTTTAGAGCTAGCTTAACCTCCCACTTGTATGACAGCTCGGTTATATTGACAAGATTGGATGAGCAACCAAAACAGACATAATAGGTTAATGTGACAAAAATTGGGATAAAGCAGCCAAAACCGTGTAAACATACATCACATGCATACAACAAAAAGCGTCAGTTAGTTAAATAAATGACTTTCAAAAATCCAGTATTAGTAACAAACCCATATGCACATAATTGACGTTACTTTGAGTGCTTTAGAATTGTTTTTTTAAGTTTCTTGTCGACCAATATCGTTAAAAGGTAAGTAAAAGCATCTAATTTCATTAATGCATACAAGGGTAACCAAAATTAGAATGCCTAATGCATTACAATGTTATGATAGATAGAGTCTTGTTTCGGAATAAACATGTGATTCTGACTGGCATTAAAGTTTTAATCAATCTCCCATTATGTAACGACAAAACAATAACAGAAAATTAGGTTCTATAGACTCTTGGGAATCTTAATGATATATATCTATGTGTAACAAAGAAATCCTAACAATCTTAATGATATATATCTATGTGTAGCAAAGAAATCCTAACAATCTTAATGATATATATCTATGTGTAGCAAAGAAATCCTTACAATCTTAATGATGTATACCCATGTGTAGCAAAGAAATCCTAACAACCTTAATGATATATATCTATGTGTAGCAAAGAAATCCTTACAATCTTAATGATATATACCCATGTGTAGCAAAGAAATCCTAAAAATCTTAATGATATATACCCATTTGTAACAAAGAAATCCTAACAATCTTAATGATATATACCCATGTGTAACAAAGAAATCCTTACAATCTTAATGATATATACCCATGTGTAACAAAGAAATCCTAACAATCTTAATGATATATACCCATGTGTAGCAAAGAAATCCTAACAATCTTAATGATATTTACCCATATGTAGCAAAGAAATCCTTACAATCTTAATGATATATACCCATTTGTAACAAAGAAATCCTAACAATCTTAATGATATATACCCATGTGTAACAAAGAAATCCTTACAATTTTAATGATATATACCCATGTGTAGCAAAGAAATCCTAACAATCTTAATTTCAATTATTACCGAAAGAAAGTCCAAAAATTTTATACAAATGTCAAATAAACCAGAACTTAGACATTTTCAAGAATTTTTAGTAAAAACCATTCAATACTTAGATGGAGAGGATTGTTCTTAAAACAGTAACAATCTCAAAGAAATATAGTAAATCAAATAAAACTGAAATATCTACCTTAACAGGGACGTCACATGATGATTTCATACTTTGATTTCTAAGTGCTTGTTCAATGTTAGTACAAAAGGATTAGAGATTTATGAAGATTTCTTCATAATACATTTGGGATTGACTGAACTAGCTAATTCATCTAAATGATTTACAGACAAAAACTCAACAAATTAGTCACAATACTATTATCAGATTTTGGTGCATTTGTTTGAATATGCATTCAAAAAGTGGGAAAGCAAAGAACATGCAATACAATAAATCAATTTAGAATTGGAAACTCAATTTTGAAATGTATTGAGAATGTAATAAATGATTTAACAAATACCATAACTCATTATATTTATATCTTTAATCTTACTTGGTAGTATTTGAATGTCATATTTGAATGTCAGTTCATTTTGCATTTGGATTGACTTCACATACAGTGGCAAATATTTCATGAATTTATTTAGGATGGGACAGGAAGGGACAAAATTAATTAGTAAGGTCTACAAAGTGAGCACACCAAATGAAGGGGATAGATAGATTTGATACTATGGAGCGTTTTTAAAAACGAGTCATGAATTAAGGTCACCAGCATATAGACGAATTTTCCAAACGCATGCTTTGTATCAAACATCACAAACGCTAAATATAATAAAGATTCTTTTTTAAACTTCATGCACAGAAAATAATATAATATTTCAAGAAAGCAAAAAAGCATCAAGTATACATTTTCAGAACTAGCTGTTCCAACAATTGTCCAAAGCAAGAAAATCGTACTCGTGTAAACATTTTATATATATATATATTTGTGTATTCATATTCCTGTAGACTTTCAATGTCTTTTTTTTTTGCGGCAAAAGACCATATTGCTTAAATTTTAAGAGTAGTTATATCAAAAAAGGTCATCATGCGGACACTATCCCTGTATGATACTGAATCGTCGACTGATGGAAAAGTACGAAAGATCAATTGCTTCATTAGTTTAGAACAAATCATATTTGCGTTGAATGAACAAAAAGGACCCCGCCCTTTTTTGATGTGTTAGCTATAAAGACTTTATATCAATTCATTACTATGTCTTCGTTTAGAACGATTTTTATATTACCTCTAGTTAAAAGTCCGATGCGCCGATGATGAAATCTCTCTAAATCTTGCTAGTTTTAAAATGTGCAGAACATTTGCATGAAAATAGAATAAAAATATGAAGCTAATTCACACTTACCTTGAACTCTTTTTCAACTTCTGCCAGCTTCATCATTTCCTGTCTAAGTTCAAATGTTGTCATGATGGGATCCGGACTTGACAGAGCCATGTAAGCAGGACTTGACAACGCTCTGTATGCGTTCAAACGTGACCTTGACCTTTTTAGAGAATCATAATTCTGCTTGATGACGCAGTCTGTACACTTACAGTAAATTGGATGTGGTTTCTCTATCCGATGATTTCTCGAGAGAAACATTTGAACAATTTCATGATTATTGTACGAAGCAGCTAAAATTAAAGGTGTAATATCCGGAGGAAACTGACTTTTCTCTTCTGTTCTGAAAAAGGCTTCATTGACCCCTGACCTCTTGAATCGATCCTCGCCAGCAATAAATGTCGGATGTTCAATGATTATTTTAACAATTTTTTGTCCTCCCTTACTTATAGCATGGAGCAATGCCTCTTCTATACAGTTAAAACTTAAGTTGTCCAGCAACATCTCAATGATGTACAACTTCTCACTATCGATTGCTAGGTGTAGGGCATTTCTACCCATATAATCTAAACAGTTAACATTCAAGGAGGCTCCCTTCTCCTCCAAGGACTGTCGCACGATCCCGACATCACCCAACGATGCTGCATTTAAATAGACCCTTTCTTCATCTGTCAACTACGATATACAAAGAAAAATGAAATGTTTTGAATATAAATCTAGTTTCCTATTTTTAAACTCATCATGATCTCACTCCGCTAAACAATACAAAAAGAAAAACTTATGCATACTTACAAAAATCAAGTTATAATTCTTACATGGTTTGCATATCTATAAATACTTGAATTGGATTGGTCAATTAGAATTTTTCTCTTGGTTTACACTTCGATAAACCATGTTTCCGAAACTACTTTAGTAACCTTCACTGTGATCTTTCATGAACGATACACATGCATGCAAGGATCCCGGGATTTTCAGCAAATTGAGATTAAAAAAACAAATACATAACAGTTGTTTCTATTCTAATGCATATATAACAAAAAAGAAAAAATGCATTAAAGCTTCGAAAATGTATAAAAATAAAATTCAAATAAAATTCCGCGAATTTTCAGAATGATTTGGCGAATTTACAAAATGTACGTCATGGCAAAACACAACGTCAAACGAATGAAAACTTTCAAGGGAAATATAATATCTCATTAAAATGATGTTTTTTTGGGGTGAGTGCTATTTCATTTTAGATTCTGTTGGATTTATCGAAACCTTTATGGATTTTAGAAATTCAATATGGCGGCCAACTCCTTAGTTACGACCTGTCAAGAGTGCATTTGATGGTAATTATAGTAGCCATTACACAAAAAAAATGTAAGTTAAAATAGCGAATGTTTGGCTTAAGAATTATAAGGATTAAACACATTTTTTCTAGGGGTTATTGATGTGTAAACCGGGGCTCTTACTCACAAACTTAACATAAAAGTCCTTCTTGAGTTTGTGAGTTAATCGCCCCGGTTTACACCACTAATGAAATAGGTTGGTCCCATATGATATATAATCTTATTGTATGTGAGTGTATGTATATCTATAAGTTCTTTGAGAATCAAATTACAGATGCTTACTGGCCTTTAGGAGTTAATGCAAGTCTGACTGTTTTCCATGCGTTGTCTTACTATTTTTACCAATATGCAAAATATTTTAAATAATTTGATGTAATATCTAAATACGTATATATGAATATATAAACTTTTTTCTGTTGTAGTTCTTTTTTCTTTTCCTCATAGAAGTTAAATATGCATGGCCATGTATTGAAATGAAATGATATCTTTTGCTGATCGTCTAAGGCATTTGGAGATTTTACTATGTACCGAAATACTATTATGCTTCTCTATTACTAAGGTTTAGCAAGCTATAAAACCAGGTTTAATCCACTATTTTCTTCATAAAATGTCTGTACCAAGTCAAGAATGTGACAGTTGTTTTCTATTTCGTTCCGTTGGTTGATAAAGTCTAACGTTAGATTTTTAAAGTTTTTATGGACTTCCCCTTTCCTTGGAGTTCGATATTTTTGCTAATACTGTTTTGCTTATACTTTATACTATATGTAAAATGATCAATAAACGTCATCACTCGAACATTAACATCGTTCACGGACGGACAACAAACGTCATCACTCGAACGCTACCATCGTTCACTGACGGACAACAAACGTTATCACTCGAACGCTACCCTTGTTCACTGACAGACAACACACGTTATAATTTGAACACTTCTATCGTTCACTGACGGACAACAACAGTTATAATTTGAATACTACCATCGTTCAATGACGGACAATAAAAGATATAATTTGAATACTACCATCGTTCACTGACGGACAACAAAAGATATAATTTGAATACTACCATCGTTCAATGACGGACAACAAAAGATATAATTTGAATACTACCATCGTTCACTGACGGACAACAAAAGATATAATTTGAATACTACCATCGTTCACTGACGGACAACAAAAGATATAATTTGAATACTACCATCGTTCACTGAAGAACAACAACGATATATCTATTGCTTTACAAGATACCAACCGTTCAACATTCATCTAATATTCGTTTACCACCAGATGAGAGATTATCCTAAATGGTAGATATAATCGAGCACTAACAAATAGTATATATGAAACGCTTATTATAATTTAATTTTTTTCTGTTTTGATCAAAATTTAATTATTCAGTTCTTACCGCTACTACTAAAATAATTTCAAAATGTTATACAAAAGCATACTTTCTATTGCTGCGATATCCAGGGAAAATTAAGCATATTACTGGAATGAGACAAAATATTTATCGTCAAAGACAAGTCCCAGAAAAGTACACCCATTATTGTCAATTGCATCTATTTTAAGCAAGGACAGACCACAAATAATTTCTTAAGTAAGTCCGTAGTTGTCATGCAATCGTTAGGTACGACAAATGCAGACAGATAAATTTAGTTATTAGTTTTTCACTCTGTCATCCAGGCTAATCAAATTCCCATTCAGCTAAATTACCTCAATGATTTAAGTGAACTTACATTAATGATCCTGATTTCAATAAAAGATTTCTATTGGTATCTAGCAAGGCTGATATAATATGTCATTAGACTGGTTAAACTAAGTTTACATTGTTGATGGATAATAATACTTCCTTGACTGTGTATTCAATGACAGAAATCTGAATAAATACGAAGGGCTATACTCAAAAGCAACATGCAAGACAACTTATTCACTTTTAGGATATAATATACTACATCCATTGTAGATGCGGAAAAGATGTGGTAGATTTTTTATCTTTATTATGAAATTAACTATTTGAAATTTGACATTTGGTGAACGGTTTGTAAATGACAATTTACGCTTGCTAACATTCTAATAATATAAATAAACAAAGAAGGTATATTCATCTCTGACACCTGTACTGCTAATAACTGCCTAATACATTGGAAGATGAACAAATGAAATGCATGTTTACATTTCCAACTCTTTCATTTTGATTTATTGATTTTATTTAATTTTTTCCAAATCATATTAATGATATGTGTGATTTAGACAGAGAAGGAAATTATGCCAGAATCAATTCTCTACATTTAAAAACGATGTCTAGCTATTATGACTTGTCTTGGTGCATGATGGAATGCTATATGACTGTTATACAAGTGTAAGCTAGCTATAAAACCAGGTTTAATCCACCATTTTCTACATAAGGAAATGCCTGTACCAAGTCAGGAATATGACAGTTGTTTACCATTCGTTTGATGTGTTTGGATTTTTGATTTTGCCATTTGATAAGGGACTTTCCGTTTTGAATATTCCTTGTAGTTCGGTATTTTTTGTTATTTTACTCTTTAAGCATACCATGTCCAACGTTTTATTGGTGCTTTGCTTAACGTTGTCCCGCAAACTTCGTTGTAACGTCATCTTTGGGATTAAATACGTTGTTATGTGTGTCTGCATGGTGTTTAGAAATGACAAATACCTATGATATTATCAACTGATCGTTAAGTCTTCAGAAAAAGGTGACACTGTCGAAACGGGTGATGTCTATATAAGACCTTCATACCTTCGGTAACTTGTGCAGTATTGTATGCGTTTTTCATCAAAAAGTTCCTATAAATAGTAGTTTTTGTCCAACTCAAAAGTACATAATATATTATATGAGCGCTGAAAACAAAACTTTGTAAATACCCATTAGGGAAAACAACTAATTGAAGAAAAAAAAGCACACACAAAAACCCATCTCCGAAGAATCACTTTTGAATGAAAACTTACATTGACTGATTTATTACATATGTAACTGTTTATTTATCCTTAAGGAATTTTTGTGACTTCATGAGACTATATCTGGTTAATTTGCACATTCTGTACAGGCATGTTTTATAGAACGAATGGTTAATTTGCACATTCTGTACAGGCATGGTTTATAGAACGAATGGTTAATTGAAATATATCATTATATTGTTTTCTTGACGTTCTAAAAACTCCTTAAATTCCTATTTGATTGAGCATTTGGTCATAATGGAAGAATTGCCCTTATTTAACTTTTAAAAAATATGTCGACTAGAAAATAGGATGCATTCAAAATTTAGCAGATTTCTTTCTTTTTGTTTAACTTCCTTCTATCAATTATAAACGGCAGAAACTTCCCGTGTGATTTGGAGGATTTAAAAAAAAAAACAAAAGCTCATGACGTGACAAGCGACTACGTGGTCATGGATGTTTGCTTACAATCATTATTTGTCAACAAATTAAGCTGACAAGTCTATTTTGATTTGAAAGTGTGACCAGAGCTTTTTGCTCAGTCGTTCGTGTCATTTTTTCAAACATTTTTATTGTGGGACATTCAGTATACTGTTTTTTTGGAATTATTCATCTTACATTTCAATATTCGGGACTGTCCTGTATGCGTACACTTGAGATTCTTCGTCTACTATTAGAGCATTCAACTGCAATTATTGCCTGGTTCTGAGTAATAAATACTAAAAAGCCTGAAAATTGAGTGAACTGGTTTCCGATTTAGAGATTGTCATGTCGTTTTGAGGGTTCAGCCATCGTGGACCTTAGGATATATATTTCAGTTGAACTCCTTTGCTTAGATTGTTGGATAATTGCCTTTAATCCATACACATTCATTTCTTAAAATTAATTTTTATTTTTATAAGATAAATCACTAGATAAACAAAATCAAGAATAATTGCCTTCTTTAGCTTGTAAATATTGCTCTACGCAGCAACGAGAAAGCAAAGTATGAATGAAACAACGAAACTAACCTAACTCTTTCTATAACCGCTTCTTGTCATAGACAAGGCGTGTATATGACAACTGACCAAGACATACTTGGTCATATATTGACATCTCGTGATGCGTAATTTGACATCAGACTTAATCGAGTTGATCTTTAGAACATCAATACTTGCCTAATTTGTAATGCCAAACAAATATTTTGTATTTCCGGTTGGTATGATTAGAATTTTCCTTATTTGTTTTTTATGTGACTAATTGGACCAATATTTCCTCGTTGTCTTGTCTTAATAGCTACAGAGTCAATGTTTACACACTTTGCTTAATGTACAAAGTATATAATTTCTCTTTTAACGTTTTAAATTCAGAGGTACATCTGTTTAATCATTCGTCCTAATCCGCATGG